ATCACAATCCATACATACATCTATTGTGTAAAGCACATTTGTACATTCATTGCCCTCATCATTCTCAAAACATTTGCTCTCCACTTAAGCCCCTGCATTAGGTCCTCTTTTTTTCCCCTCATATAATCAATTTTCATATGCACTCATTGTAGCTCGTGTAAAAAAATTACCTTTCTATATTGTGACATTTAAAAGAAATTATTAAAGAAAATATTTAATATAGCATTTTATTTATGAAAATTATTTAAATGATTTTTAGTTATTACAAAAACTAGAAAAACTTCTGACCCAAAATAGATTTTGATAGTCATTTCTTCTTTTCAATGATTACTTGCACCTACATGTTTAAAACTTTCTGGGTAAATAAAAAATAATACAGTGTTCTCCATGCACCATGTATTCTTTTAACTCCTTTTGCATATATTAAATTATTTAAGCCAATACTCCCATTTTACATACAAGTACTTTAAACCACAAAGAGATTAACTAACTTCCTGTGGATCACATAACTAGTCAGTGATTGAGCCTGGAACAGAACAGTCTGGTGCTACGGTTTATGCTTTTAACCCACTATATACTATATTGTCTTTTATTTGTATAACTTCTTACCACTGTACTGTGAAATGTTAAAATTGAGTAAGACTCATTTAGACAGCATATTGTGAAGCAAAAATTTAAAAGCATAGTGATAGTTTAGTAAGTTTCTTTCTGATCATTATAATGACTTAAAGTACTTAAATTTAAATCATTAATGATTTAAAGTACTCCTTTAAAGAAGTATTATTGGGGAAAAGGGGGAGAAATGGGGAACCGACTAGAATGATGGACATATAACACCACCCCCTACTGCCCCAGGGAGATGAACAACAGAAACATAGGTGAAGGCAGACAGCAGGTGGTGTGAGATATGAAAATAATAGTAATTTATAATGTATCAGGAGTTCATGAGGGTGGGAGGATGAGAGAGGGAGGGGAAAAAGAGAAGCTCAAGCAGAAAGAAAATGTTTTGAAAATGATGATGGCAAATATATACAAATGTGTACGATACAATTGATGTCTGGATTGTTATAAGACCTGTTAGAGCCCCCAATAAAATCATTTATTAATAAAAATATTTTAAACAAAGAAGTATTTTTGGTCAGGCATCCATTTTTAGATTTAAAGTTTTATTTTTATTAATCAAATCAAGGATATTATTTTTTTTTACACTTTCCTTTTAAGGACCTAATCCTTTATAATTTTTATAAAAATACATAGTTGCTAAACTTATTCTAAGTATGCATTGCTTGCTTTGCCCATTGTAGACAATAAATGGTTTCTAGAAGATTAATATATTGAACCGCTTGATGTATAGTCAACAATTAAAATTTTATTTCTCTACTATGAAATTTTAAACTAGAAGTGGTCTAAGGAAAATCAATAAACAGTAAGAATTTAATATTCTTAGAATCACACTTCTATAAAGAACCCGTAGAATCTTTCTTGATGACAGAAACTTACTTGTTTATCTCAACACATAATACTTGAAGCATAATACTTGATGCTTTATCAAGCTCATTTTAATATGGAATCATGCCCTCAACATTCCACATCTTTAGAGTAAATTTGACATTCCAGGAGGATAGGTGGTGTTTTCATGTGTCTTCTCTTCCTTGGCAGTTGCCTCCATTAGAGAAGTAAGGAATCTCTCTCAACTTGTTTCAGAATAACGTTTCTAATATGTAAGGTGGCTTAGCTCATTATCTTTGTAAATTACTTTTTCCGATGGCATAGTCACAGAGACTATTTTATCTAAACATTAAAATAATATTTTTCTGATTACTTTATTCTTCCTATTCAGATTTTATTGTATAAAATCAAACCGCTAAATGGAAGAGTTTTCCAAGTTATAACTTACCGTATGATCTCAGTTGACTGATAAGAAATTAAATTAATTCAAGGAGATAAAACTCATTCTCCCTACGTTAGGAAAGCTGATTCTTTTCAGAATATCATCTTATCAAAGTTTTGCAATATCCAGAAGGGTACAGGAAGTTTAAAAAACAATTATTTGCCTCTAAATGTGTGAAAATCTACACACAGGCTATAGAAAAGCATCTTATTAAGAAGTCCCGGGGAGGTCTCATTTTCATTGGAGAATGGAAGAATGGACACTTGGAGAAGAAGATGGGGCATTTGGCCTGCTTTGCTGGGGGAATGTTTGCACTAGGAGCAGATGGTTCCAGAATGGATAAAGCTGGTCATTATCTAGAACTTGGAGCAGAAATTGCACGGACTTGTCATGAGTCATATGACAGAACTGGTAAGAATATTAACAAGAACTACTTAATGTAAGATAACCTGAAAGTTAACATTTTGCCCAGGAATTAGAAAAATAATAAAGTAGCATTTTTCAATTTAAAATAAAGTTAACACAGTAAATCATTTTTAAAATTAGTTAAGAACTTGAATTTCAATTCTGGAAATGTGTTCTTATGTCAGGTATTGTTTAGTCGTTTGTTCTTAATTCTGAATTCTATTTTTTGTTAAAAAGGAATTTGAAGTAACTGTAAAGACAAAGATAAAATATTAAAAGATGTATGGGATGACATGATTGACAAGGGGGCTTTAACAAGTTTGTGGAAAAAGTCTTATTCTCTTTTAATACATTTTTCTATAAACTTTTTGAAGCCTCTTGCATTTTAAGACACTAAGGATACAGCCATTTATTTCAGTTTCCACAGAACCAGAGTTACTTAAAAGAACACAGTATTGACTGATTTAGGTCACATTGCTATGCCCATTCTCTTGTGAAAATAAAAATTTCCAAAAGATAACCGCACAGGCAGTCCCTGGGGTCCCAGGCATCTGCTGTATGGACTACTGCTGCCTATCCTTTATTGACTACGCAGGGCTTCAACCCAATCGGAACCAGTGCCATCATGACTGACTGAATGAAGCAAGAGCAGACCACAATTTGACTAAACTCTGAAGTAACCCGAATGGGAAAAATTACAGCTTTGTATTAGTCTAGGTACTTTGGAGAAACAAATCCACAGCGACCATGTAGAAGAGAGAGTTTTATGTAAAGAAAAGGTGCACCACCAAAACATCCCAACCCAGTGCTGCCCAAGCCCACAAGTCCAGCATTAACCCATACCCAACACCAGTCCACAAAGTCCTCCACCTCACAAAACAGAGGCAATGATGCCGAATTCAGGAGGAAAGCTGAGTCAGTGAACGAACAAGCATCTCAGCAGTAGCAGGGGGTCTCCACACGGCTGCTCCAGCACCCAGGGCTGCATCGGGATAGGTCCATGGGGCTTCTCCTTGGGGATGTCTTGTAGGAAGTCAATCTTGCAAGTTGAAGCAGGGAACTGCTAAGGCAGCTGCACCCGATGCAACCATCACAAAACAAGAGACCCGAGAACTAGAAAGGCGAGGCTTCACCACCCATTTATCCCTCCGCCTTTCAACCAGCACCACATGTGATTATCGGCCAGGCTGGCACAATTAACTAACTCAAGCTTGAAACCATGGATTATAGAAAATTTGGAGAGCTAGTGAGCCCTTTCAGGGGTCTGATGTATGAGATGTGATTATTGGCCAAACTCAAGAGAGCCCACACATTCAAAGTGGCATGATCTGTAGCCATCTTTGACTGGGGTCCATCTGTCTTTGAGTTGAGCACTTTTTGTTTCAGTTCAAAATCCATTTTAGATTTATATCAACTTGCTCTCTTGAATTGATTGACCCAACTCCTACTGCATCACCACCCCTTCTTTACTCACTGCCTGTGAAACTAAATCACTGAAAAGGCTCATTAAGAACCAAAGTAACCCATACAACCCCCAGAGTGCCCTTTACTCCCCATTAGGTCTGGAACCGAGCTCACTCGTGTTTCAGTTTCAGCCTCTGTGGGTGTTGCTAGGTGCTGGAGAGCGGCTCTGATTCATGGGAGCCTATAAAACTGAAGAAAACAATTGCTTGTTGCTGCAGCATCCTTATATTGGTTTGAGCCAATTGGATTGTTGCAGCCAAACAACAGACAGGCCTATAAGGGGAAAATTAACACCAGGGAAGGACATAGACCTAGAATAACTAGCCATTTGAGATTTTTAAAAG